ATCCCTAGATTGCGGGATTTGGGATCCCAGGATTTGGGAATTCCAGGATCTGGTGATTCTGGGACTGGGGGATCCCAGGACTGGGGAGTTTTGGGAATCTGGGGTACCTGGTTGACCCTGCGCAGGGGGGACACGTCCACGGCCTGTCTCCGGACGGTGCCGGCGCGGCCGATCCGAGTCGAGTCCTCGCGGGGCCCCGAGTTGATGATGGCATTGACCAGCACCTGGAGGGGGTTCTGGGGGGAAAAACTGGGAATTCAGATCCTCCAGATCCCAAAATATCCCTCCCGGATCCCCAAAAAAAATCCTCTCCTGGAACCCCAACCCCCCCTAGTTCCTGTGTCTTTCCCACCTCCCAGAGCCTCATTTCACCATCGCAAAGATTTTTTCCCCGCCTGGAATCCCAACAACTGCCACGGAATTCCCACCTCCCCAGTGAGCAGCTGGATGATCCCAAAGTCCCGTTCCACACTCCCGAGCCTCCTCCCATTATTCCGACCCATTTCCCCCCGTGTTCCCCCGGAATTCCCGCGTCCCCCGGGCGATCCCGAAGCCGCACGTCGCGACCTCGAAGGTCGGTTTTTTTCCCCGCCCCTATTCCCGCGGAATTCCCACCTCGCCAGTGAGCAGGTGGATGATCTCGAAGGCGTGCTTGACGATCCTGACGGTCATGAGCTTCTTGCCGTTGTTCCTGCCGTGCATCATCATGGAGTTGGTGAGGCGCTCCACGATGGGACACTGCGCCTTGCGGAAGCGCTTGGCCGCGTAGCGCCCGGCGCTGTGCGGGAGGTACTTGGCGTACTTCTCCTTCACCGCGATGTAATCCTGCCGGGAACAACGGCAATTCATTCTTTTCCCACTTTTCTCCCTCTCTGGATGCTTCCTTCCCCACCCTTTTCCCCATTCTTTCCCTTCTCTCTTTCCCACCCTGGATCCTCCTTTTCCCTTCCCTTTTCCTTCTCTTTTCCCACTCTGGGTTCCTCTTTTCTACTCTGCATCGTTCTTTTCCCACTTTTCTCCCTCTCTGGATTCCTTTTCCCCCTCTGGCCCCCCAGAATTCCAGGTCACCTGCAGGGAGATGCCGCTGATCTGCCCATCCTTGATCCCCCCCTTTTCCCCTCCTGGATCCCCAGCATTCCCACTTTTCTCCCCCTGTGGAGCCTCCTCTGGCTCTCCAGGACCCCCCAAATCCCGGGTCACCTGCAGGGAGATGTCGTTGATCTGCACATCATCCGTGCTCCACTTCCCAAAAAGTTTGATATCCGGAGTCTCGGTCACGGCTGGCGCCGTCTCCCAGTCGGTCATGCTGGAAAAAAACATGGAAAAACACGGGATCAATGTGGGAAAAGGGGCAGGGAAGGGGCTTGGAAAACGGGGTCGCACTGGGATCCCTCCCTTTGCTGCTCTGGATCCCTCATTTCCCTCTCTTTTCCCACTGTTATCCCCGTTTCCTACTCCAGATCCCTCTTTTCCCACTCTTTTCACGTTTTCCCGCCGTGGATTCCTCTTCTCCCCTTTCACACTGTGAATCTCTCATTTCCCGCCGTGGATTCCCCTTTTCCCACTCTGGACCCCGCATTCCCACAATTTTATCCCCCTTTTCCCCACAGTTTTTACCCCCATTCCCACTCTGGATCCTCCTTTTCCCTCAGTTTTATCTCCCTTTTCCCACATTTTTATCCCCCATTCCAACTCCACTCCTTTCTTTTCCCCAAATCCCTCAACCCTGCAAATCCCGACCAAACCCTTTCAATTAAATCCCGGGAAAACCGGCAGGATCCACTTCCCCTCCCCCAAACTCCCCCTTCAAACCCTTTTTTCTCCCCTCCCCGAAACCCCCCCGGCCTCGAACCCCCCTAAATCCCCTCTCAGGACTCCCCCTCACCCCCCGATCCCATTTTCCCCCTCACAAATTCCACTTTTCCCCTCAGAATTCCCGCTTTTCCCCCCTTTCCCCGCTCACATGGCGGCGGTCCTGACTCCGACCGAGGAAAAGAGGGTCGATGGGGCTTCCCGGCCTCTTATGGAAGGGCTCGGGTTCCCTTCCGACTGCGCATGCGCAAACTCCACCATGAGGCTGCTTTTCCGCCCTTCCTGCCCTCACTGCGCCTGCTCTGGCCTCAATGCGCATGCCGCGGCCGCCATGTTTTTTGAGGGCGCTCGCCCACACGCCGCCATATTTGTTGAGGGTGCTTGCCGCCATGAAGCGGAGTCAATTAACAGTAGGGGGCTAAAAACACGCGTGAAGGGGACAGAGTGGGATCAGGGAGCCCTAAAGGCGCCAAAGGGGGGAGTCTCATCAGCATGCGCATGAAGCCACGTCCGCCGTATTTGTTGAGGGCTCTCGCCCACGCGAGAGGCGTAAAAACTCACTATAAAGGGACAAAAACAGGCGTGGGAGGCACAGAGTGACCCTATAGAGGGGCATAAACACGCGTGGAGGGGACAGAGTCGCGTCAGGAAGCCCCAAAAGCCTCACGGGGCTCTCGCGGGTGGACAAGGAAGCCATTGCCGGGCCCACCTCCCATAGACCAATCAAGGCCCGCGTCTGCCGTGGCGTCACCGGTTGCTAGGCAGATCTCGAGAGGGGTTTTGGGGGTGAAAAAGGTAGGAAAAAGGGCAAAGGAAAGTCGGGCACCGCCGTGGAGGGGGTAGGGGGGGTCGTACAAGTGTCCCTCATGTCACAGCCAACCCCAAATTACTTTGTCACAAAGGAGCATCTTTATTTCCATTTTTTGGGCAACATTTTGGGGGGTTGAGGGGCTTGGAGTCTGTCACAGACGCGATGTCGCTGTCCTGGGGGTCCTCAGATGCTGCCTGGAGGGGGACAGGGGGTGGCAGAAGGGGGAACATCCCCAGAGGGGCCAGGGGCCCCACATTTGGGACCATTTGGGGTGGAGGGGTGTCCTTTACCTGCACAGTTGTCACCTGGCAGAGGAGTGTAACCTGCAAAGAGGGGGGACAGGGTGCTCAGGGGGGGTTGTCACCCCAAGACCACCCCCCCTTTTGGCCCCCAAGGGTCTCACCTGGGATTGGGGCCTTCTTCTGGTACCTCCAGAGGCCGAAGCTGAAGAGGAGGAGCCC